GAAAACGGTGATTGGAGTTGGTCGACTGGAATAAGGTTGGAGTGTCTGAGGCGAGAAGAGGCGAAGGGGCTGAAAGGCAATTTCCGCAAAGGAGTGAGTCAGTGCCGCCAGAGCCCCCATTAACCGAGGTCTACAGTCGTCTGAACCCACAGACGGGCGCGCCAAGTCGCCAGTTGCCATGGTAAAAGACATTCTTGACGCGGCGGCGTCAAGTAGGAGCTGGAACTGGGAGGTAAAAGCGCCTGACTAGCAGCGAAATGGACGAGACTCGACATGGAAGGATTGACAGTTAAATTTGCCCACACTCATATGACTCCTTGGAAACTCCGCATAATCTGCCAAGAGGGACTCGAACTCTGGAGGTTAAGGGGTACAGCTTCCACATGTTACCGCACGCCAAGATGTGTAATCTCGATGTATCAACCTCTACGCCACGCTCCCACGATCGCCCTTTGGTCACGGATCAGATGTGAATGTTAAGGAAAGTCAGGCCTTTATTCAATCTCACAGGTCATGGTGGGAGTTTTGATGATGAGTTTGCTATAACAATCAGCTACATTACTCATCGAAGAAATGAAGACCAAGGTGTATAGAAGTTCAACTAAGTCGCCTTGACAACACGATCAAGTTGCAAAAAGGATGTCAGTTCACTTATATGCATTACTTATACTTTTTCGTTTGACTCACATACATGCTTTACTGGTAGTCTCGAAAACCTTCTTATAAACGAGAAACAAGTAATGTAGTCGATTGTCGGCAATCCCGCCAAAGAATATGATTGGGAATAAAGGCCTGACCCTGCTTGAAACTCGCATCCGTCCTGTCACACAAAGTCAATCGTGGGAATGTGACGTAGTGGTTAGCGTGTGACTATCATGGTTCGAGTCCCGCTGGGGGTTTTGATGAGACCGGTTCAGGCGAGGTCAATTCTGCAGTACACTCTTGTGTGGATATGAATGCCGTTTGGGAGGCAAGATTGTGTGAAATTGAATGGAGACATAGGGTCCACTCATGTGATTGTGGGAAAATTCGACTACAAGTCCCCCCATCACCTTGAACGAAATAGGGTGAATACATCTCATACATCTGATCGACTGGTAGTCTTGAATACCGAACTATGAACAAAAAAACGTGTAGAAGTAGGTTGATTTCGTTGTCGCAACTTGGTCTTGTTTTCAGGGAGACTATGTAGAACGATCTGCTCGGTGAGGCGGCAGTG